ACAATAATTGCTCATAGCTTACAGTCCAGAATGACATTCTTAAATAAGTGCCTCGTCTGTCGGCCTGCAGATGAGGCTGCTCTAGGATCAAAGATGTTTTGGGCCTTTTGGAGTGAGTGTTTGAATTAAACCGTGATATACTGAGATCTTTTGCAACATGCTCTGTCTACGGTGGTCCTTGGAACCATTTTCCATGTGTCATGCCAATTTTACACTTACTCTGATGACTAGAGAGCCGGAAGACGGCAGAATGATGTTCTCTTTTCTCTAAAAGATCCCCCCCACCAACTTCTAAATTACCTAATAAACACACTTAACAATATGCTCAGGAGGAACTGGCCACAACTGCCATTGAAGGAAAGCCTGTCATCATGTTTAATTATTGCTAAGAATAAAAGACAACATGTGTTATAATTTCACTGAGCATTCTTTTGTAATGAATACACATTAATTCCTTTAAGCTGTAATCTGTGGCGGCGACCATTTTTGGTCAGAAGTCACACTTATCTGCTAATGCCGTGCACAAATTTCAGAGCTGAAATTGTCCCAAGACAAACCAGGAGATGAGCCGAAAAGAGGTACTTACTTACATGAATGCATTACAAATTCATACACACAGAGAAACTATTCTTTATTGTTAACAATAAAAATGAAAAGTTTTATATCTCATTTTACATTAAAAAAACAATAAAACACACTGTTTAGTAGATATTCTGCCAATGAAAAAATACATGAGTTTAATTATACTTTTAATTTTTTTTCCATTGGAGGTATATCTAAAAACTGCAAATATCTCTAAAACCTTTGCAAGCCCCCCTCCCCTTCTAACCCCGCCTAGACGTTCTATGGCTGTCCAAACACAGACTTCCCAATTTAACTCGATGAGAAGTCTTTGCAAGGCAGGTGCTATGAGCAATTGCTGCCTCTTGAGTTTAGCTCCACTGAACTAACCAAACTAGGAAGTGACAAGACCTGATTGAGAGCCAGAGCGGTGTAACAAGGTTAATTTCTAAAAGTGCCAATTGCTATTGAAATCGGCACTTTTTGTAAAATGAAAAAAAGAAGATGTATTTTCCATACATGCAGCACGTCAGTAAGCTAAAGTGCTTTAGGGGTCTGGAGTGTCTCTTTAACAAATCTCTATTTGCCATTACGCAATTCACTTAATCCACAACTACATGGCTGCTATGCATGTTATGCATGTTTTACATGGCAGGGCAAAGGGGACAGGGATGCTGATACTGAGATTAAGAGGTCTGGGTACCTATAGTGTCCCTGCCTATAATGTCCCTAAAAAATCTTCAGAACAAATTAAAACTACTAGACTCTCCACTATCAGAGGGGTTCCATGTCATTATGGAATCTCTTGAGCGTAGGGCAGAGGTTGTAGCTATAGTCTTTTTAAAGAGGATAGGTCAAAAGGAGAAAGGATAGAGAGGAAGAAAAGAAAGCAGAGGACAAGACCCTCTATGATAGGGTCACCATTTGTTCCATTGCTTTCAAGGAGCGGGGGGCAGGGAGAGCCAGGTGTTGCCCTCTCCTAATTCATTCTGCTAAGGTGTTATTCACTCCTGGGGAATATTTTGTCAAGTTTCCTTGTGGATCCCTGTACCCTGGCTGTTAAGTCATCCATTAGACAAGTATCTTTTATTTTCGCTATAAATACTGTGACAGAGGGGGTGTCTGGTTTAAGCCAGTATTGTGATATCCATTTTTTATAATAGTTTTAAAATAATCAAATAGTGGCTTATTCAAGTTTTAATTGGATTTCCGTATAAATTGTGAACAAAAGCGGAAATTAAACAAAGCTATAAGAAGCAATATGTCCTGTAGAGAAAACTCAGCTCAGCTAACATACAGTCCCTCCTTGAGGCAGATCGATGGAACAAATCTCCAACTGAGAAATATGAGGACCGGTTGAAGCTGAGGTGAAATGATTGGGGTTCATTTAAATATATTCCCTTTTCAAATTATTACAATCAAAATGAAAAAAAAATGCAAATAATTTATCTAAAAAAATTCACATAGACTATAAAACATTTCAATAGACTATAATGGTGATCTCGAACTATTATAAAGAGATAAAAAAAGATACATAAAAGTTAAATGCGTACTATAGAAAAGTTCACACTAAAAAACATATTTGGGCTGCTGTTAGATAAGTTATACGTTTTTATAGATATGTTTTGTGCAGTTCAGTTTTGAAGTAATTTTTCAGGGTTTTATTTTTCATATTCATAAAATGAGATCTTGGGTCTCATTGGGATTTATGTGTAAAGATGAATATTGGGAGGTGGAGGGTTACAGATCAGAGAAATAGGTATTGTCTGTCAATATTTATAAATCTCTTCCCAAATAATAAACATAAGCCCTCTTGCTAAGTTAATTATCCCCTAGAGCAGGAGTTCCTAACTGTGGTACCCCCAAGGGTACAATCCAGCACTCCCGGGGATATGTGAAAAAAATAATGGCGGTAATGGCAGCTGGGAACCACATGACTGGGCCGCTTCTAACCTGCAAGGAGAGCTGGGAGAAGGAGGGAGAGAGAGTCGGCATTTCCTCCCAGTTTGCATAGATACAGGCGCGCCAACGGGAGCCACGAGCTGTGGGGGGGTTCCGGATCGGAAGAGGAGCAAGCACTTAACTCCCACCAACATCAATCAACACGAAAGCGCGGGGAACTAGAACGTGGCTAGAACAGTGATGTGTAGGTGTGTTTTTGGCATCTGTATGTATGTAGTGTTTGCATCAGTGTGTGTCATTGTTTGTATCTGTGTCAGTGAATGTATCTGTATTTCTGTTTACCTGTGTGTTTGTCAGTATATATGTATGTCTGATAATCTTTGATATACAGTGTTATACTATTCTTTTTATTCCTTTAGATTGTATATTTTTATGTTTTTTTATTGAAGATAGGTGGAATCTTCTTACAATCTACTGCAAAATTTTAAGGGTAAATTATTTTGGTTACTTTTACCCACTTTTGTGGTGGTCACCGTGCTATATGGTGTATTTACTTGAATTGTATTTGTGTCTGTATCTGTATGTAGGTCAGTGTTTTTATATGTGTGTCTGTGCATCCGTGTGCATCTGTGTGTGTGTGTATCTGCATGTGTATCAGTGTGTCTATCTGCACTGTGAGAAGCAGTAGGAGACCGGAGAAGCAGGGGTAGTGTGGGGCAGAGGAGAAGCAGGGTGAGCCTGGGCAGATGAGAAGCAGGGAGAGCCTGGGACCGAGAAGAAGTAGGAGGAGTCTGGGGAAGAGGAGAAGCAGTGAGAGCCTGAGGCAGAGAAAATGAGGAGATGGGGCAGGGGTGGATCCAGAACCTAATCTCAGGAGGGGCACTGGTAGTGGGCTGTAGTGGGGCTATAGGTGCTGTAATGGGGAAAAAACTGTAACTGAGGCGACTGTAACTGAGGAGTTAGGGGCTAGGAGCTCTAATGGGGGACGGGGCTGCAGTAGTTGGATAGCGGCTGTAGTGGGGCGATGGGGACTGTAGTGGGGGGTAAGGACTGTAGTAGGAGGGTTAGGGATTAGGAAATGTAGTAGGGGGTAGGGGCCGTAGTGGGGGGACAGATGCAATTGGGGATATGGGCTGTAATTGGGGGAGAGGGGTTGTAGTGGGGGGTAGCAACTGTAGTAAGGGAATAGGGGCTGTAGTAGGGGAGTAAGGGGCTAAAGTGGGGTGATATGGGCTGAAGTTGGGATGAATGGGGCTTTAGTGGGGGGTAAGGGATTGTAGAAGAATGGTTGGGGCTGTAGTATGGGTGTTAGGGGCTGTAGTGGGAAAATGGAGCTGTAGTGGGGGGATCGGTGCCGCTGCTGCATTAGGTGGTAGGGACTGTAGTGGGGGATAGAAGCTACATTTGAAGAGTAGAGACTGTAGTGGGGGTTAGGCGCTGCAGTAGGGGGAGGGAAGCAGCAATGGGATAAGTGGCTGTAGTAGGGATAGGGGCTGCAGTGGGGCAATAGGGGCTGCTGTGGGGCAATAGGGGCTGCTGTTTGGTTAAAAGGGCTGTAGTAGGGGCAATTGAGGGTTAGGGGCTGCAAATGGGGGGAAGTTAGGGCTGTAGTAAAGAGTAAGGGGCTTTAGTAGGGGTGTTAAGGGCTGTAGCAAAGAGTAAGGGGCTTTAGTAGGGGTGTTAAGGGCTGTAATAAGGAATAAGGGGCTTTATTAGAGGAGATTAGGGGCTGAAGAAAGGGTGGGATGGGGGGAGGTTACAGGCTATTGCCACTGAGATGGGGAAGCAACTATATTGACAAACATTTTGCTAAGGAGGGGTACAATTTATGGAAATGCGCTGCCAAGGGGTGAAAAAAGGTTGGGAAGCACTGCTCTATAAGTAAGTAAGAAAAAGGGAAACAGCCATGGTTCTCCTATAGTTTATTGGGATTCCATTTTTTATCACGTTGGTCACAAGTATATCTTCATAGTTCATGAGCCAACAATACAGTTGAAGGTACCATAGTTCACAAAAGATATAATCCAGCCCGATATGTTTAAAGGATGTCTAAAGTCACCAAGGTCACATCATCTCCATTTCAGGAACAGCAATGTAGACCTTGAAGGGTAAACAAACCTCTCCAGCAGCTTTTAGTGTTTTGTGCAACAACCGGGTAAACATCTGTCACGTAATGTTGGAGCCCCCATACGAAAGCATTGATTTAGTGCTTTCCTATTTAAAAAAGTGGATGCATGCGCAGCATGTCCTCAATGCTCCTCTATGAAGTGCATTGGATTGGGCTATGGTGGAGATAAAAAGTAGTTTTTTTAAAATGATTTTTACTGCACAAACAGTATGGAGAACAACCTAGTGACAAGACAACTAGTAACAAGAGTACTATAGCGCTAGGAATACAGGAAACCAAGTGATTATGGAACACCGTCCTTTTAAGTTACTAAATTACCATAGTAACAGTTTTTGGAACGATTACTAAAAAAATTCATGGGTGCAGGTAACCATGGAATCTTTATGGGTGCAGGTAACAGTGTCTCAATCTGACTATTGCCAGTTGATAAAGCCCTGTGTGGCGAAACGCGTTTTGGCTATTTTATATATTTTTTACTGTACTAATAAAGGAATAGTGGCTTCTTTATAATAATTTTGCCATATACCTTTTTTATTTCACTTTTAAAAATTTCCTGTTACCTGGTCATATATTATCTTGGAGCCTACCCACGACCAAGAATCCTGGGTGGGGATTGTACCACCTATGCGATTATACTGAGCAGTCTATCCTGCTCATCCGAATGTGAGTATTTTTATTCTTTTATTCCATTTTATTTTACTTATATCCAGTGAGCACTATATTCTGCTTTTATCTCCTTTCTATAACCGAGGAATTACCTTCACCTATATCCTACCAGTGGGGGATAAACGCCACTGAACGCCCAACATACTAGAGTGAGTCTATGCTCTGAGATAGGTGAGTGTATTACCTACCTATTATTCTTCTTAGCAATAGACAGTCTACACTATTGGATCGTCTTTGTTGTTTATATTTTCCATGTTCACCTCCGAATCAAGACTCCTCTAAAGACTAGAAGATCCAGTCTCTTATTGGACTCACTACCCTCATATACTTACCGGAACCTGAAAGAAAAATATACCAAGTACTGTAACTATCATTCATTCATTTGAACTCACCAAAAGTATATCAAGTATTTGGACTATCATTTTTTTTATATATTTATTAAATACTTTTTTTTATATATTTCTCTTTATTTATGTTTTAAAGTGTTTGTTGTTACAATATATTTATCCCTTTCCATTTGTTATTTATGTAGCGCAACCTATTATTCCTGTTTTTGCCATTTCTCCTTTGAGGACTTTAGAGGGAACCTCATATCTATAGGTTGCAGCTTTCTACTTGACCATATCACGCAGCGCTGATCCGTTTTCTACCTGTAACAGTGTCTCAATGCACAAACCACATGGTCAACTGAAAAAAGTTCTCTTGAGGGACAGGACGTCTGGTACCACTGCAGGACGGGTCACAAACAATAACCCAAGTGTTCAAAATACTAACAAAAGTCTTGGACAGATACAATAAGCTGTGAATAGAGCATATTGTATTAGAATTTAATGCCTTGAATTAGTATTCAGCATTCAGAGATATTGTGCAGATAATAGATGGTTCAATTGTTCAAGCAGAATGTATTGGCCCTTGAATGAAAGATCCATCAATTTAAATAGGTCAGATTAAGACCAGGCCAGGGGTATCACATGATACAGATTCCTCTGTGTCTAGTCTCCCTCTTAGGTGTCTATTGTCCAACTTAACAAAGTTTGTTTTGTTTCCGCCGGCTGAAGACTTCAGCAAAAGCTCTGCACGCAATTGTTTGGAAGGCAAAGATCACGTTGGAAAGTACCATTAAGCTAAATTATTATCTTTTGACCTTTTTTGTTGAAGAAGGCAAGCTAATGCTGGTGACCGAGATTTCGATAAAAAGAACATTTGGCTATAAAACATGCTTTCTCGAAAGGATAGCTAAGCTTTGGCACTGCAGCTTTTCCAACGGACATTTCCTATGAAACTCAGCCAGCCATATGGTCCATGACAGGTGGAGTGTGAGTGGACAGCCATAAATAGCACTAAATAATCTATAAAAGCAATTAAAATCAAATAATCTGTTCTGTAATATTGGTGATCAGGGCCGCCATCTAAGAGTCTTTCCCCTCCCTGGACACAGGTAAGAGCAGGGAGCAGGGAGGGGGGAATAACATTTGTTAAATTTAATGTGAAAAACATTCTCCTTTTGCACAACATTTTCACAAACTGCATACACTAGTACAACTCACACTCTGCATTCACTACACTGACACACACTCTGCATTCATTACACTAACTCACACTCTGCAATCATTACACTAACACACACTGCATTCACTACACTAAAACATACTCTGCATTCATTACACTAACACACACACACTCTGTAATCATTACACTAACAAACACTCTGCAGTCACTACACTAAAACACACTCTGCATTCATTACACTAACACACACACACTCTGTAATCATTACACCAACACACACTCTGCAATCATTACACTTACACACACTGCATTCACTACACTAAAACATACCCTGCATTCATTACACTAACACACACACTCTGTAATCATTACACTAACACACACTGCATTCACTACACTAAAACACACTCTGCATTCATTACACTAACACACACACACTCTGTAATCATTACACTAACACACACTCTGCAATCATTAAACTAACACACTGCATTCACTACACTAAAACATACCCTGCATTCATTACACTAACACACACACTCTGTAATCATTACACTAACACACACTCTGCAATCATTACACTTACACACACTGCATTCACTACACTAAAACATACCCTGCATTCATTACACTAACACACACACTCTGCATTCACTACACTAACACACACTCTGTAATCATTACACTAATAAACACTCTGCAGTCATTACACTTACACACACTGCATTCACTACACTAAAACATATCCTGCATTCATTACACTAACACACACACACTCTGTAATCATTACACTAACACACACTCTGCAATCATTAAACTAACACACTGCATTCACTACACTAAAACATACCCTGCATTCATTACACTAACACACACACTCTGCATTCACTACACTAACACACACTCTGTAATCATTATACTAATAAACACTCTGCAGTCATTACACTTACACACACTGCATTCACTACACTAAAACACACTCTGCATTCATTACACTAACACACACACTCTGCATTCCCTACACTAACACACATTCTGCAATCATTACACTAATACACACTCTGCAATCATTACACGAACACACACTCTGCAATCATTACACTCACACACACTGTTTTCACTACACTAAAACACACTCTGCATTCATTACACTAACACACGCACTCTGCATTCAGTACACTAGCACACACTCTGCAATCATTACACTTACACACACTGCATTCACTACACTAAAACACACTCTGCATTCATTACACTAACACACACACTCTGCATTCCCTACACTAACACACATTCTGCAATCATTACACTAATACACACTCTGCAATCATTACACGAACACACACTCTGCAATCATTACACTCACACACACTGTTTTCACTACACTAAAACACACTCTGCATTCATTACACTAACACACACACACTCTGCATTCACTACACTAGCACACACTCTGCAATCATTACACAAACACACACTCTGTATTCATTACACTAACACACACTCTGCAATCATTACACTAACACACACTCTGCAATTATTACACTAACATGCACTCTACATTCAGAGTGTGTGTTATATGCTTTACTTTTTTTTTACTTTTTATAAAAACAAACCCTTGTTCCAGTTCATGTTTTCCCAGCTCTCCTGCATTTATATACACGTCTGCCCTTCTTGTATAATCTATATCGAATTGGAGCAAGATTTAAATAACATTTCCTCCCTTTACAATTTGCTTCACAGAACTAATCGCTGTCTCAACGCTGGTAACATGGTTAAAGATATCTTTTCGTTTTGACTTCATTGTGTTTTCTGGAATATTGCCTTGAGATATCTGGTCAGCAGATACGGTTTATGTGATAATCTATCTAGTGAGTTAATATATTTAAGACTTTCAAGGTCAGTTCATTTTGAAATTCCCCAGGTAAGGTTTTTTCTGTAAAGATGGCATTCCGTTTAAACTACTGATCAGAGAAGCTTCTAATGTCCTCTATCTGGTTTACGTTTTTCACAGGTGATATATCTTTTAATAAACTCTTCACTTCAATGTTCAACGCTTTTAAAGAGGTCTTTTTCAAAACATCTGCTAAGACCATCTCTGTCTTTGAATCTCCTTTGAATTCCTTTGAATGCATCAATACAATTCTTTCCCAGGCATTGTTATCATCTTGTTGCATTGCTCGTAATCAGCATCAGATGTTTACAAGATGTATATGTTACAGTTTCTCTGCCTAATATAGTTGAACGTATTTGTTAATTTATAACGCAGCTGGTAGCATGAGAGTAGCTATGAATGCTTAAGACTGACCAAAAAGGACATGGCTGTAGGGTGACCTACTTTGGAAAGAAGATGATACAGGACCTGAGGATCACAGAGTAGGTAGAGGGTTACTCCAAGTGTTTTGAAGCGGTCATGGTGCCTGGAATCTGTATGCACAACACGTTAACACATCTGTTGCTGGTGGACTAACACCACCGAAGGCAGCATCATTGAGGCTTCATTAGCTTGGCTGAACAAGAGTTCCAGGATGGCTAATGTCCATTCTTTGCATGTTGTATATCTGACGTCAGTATGAACAGCATAAGGACAACAGGCATCCACTGGCAAAATGGTTTGCCCTCCGTGCCATCGATGTCCTCTCCTCAGCCCACTTTCCTACTAAATCCCTCCAATCCTCCAGTGAGGGGAACTGATGTCAGAAGAGGATAATCAATTTTTTTAGCTATTTCGCTTTTTTTTTTTAATTGGGGGGAGCGGGTGGTGAACCAGTGCAGTAAGAGTTACTGCAACCAAAAACAGTGTTTATCAAAAAAATGTTTTTTGGTTAGAGTAATCCTTTAAATTCCAAATTAAAGTGACTGACATGGAAACAGGCCAAGACCCAGACATGGTTAACATAATAAATTGAACTGGAATAAAGAAACTATAAACTGATAATAGATGATAATAGATGGTCTGCGGGCAGGTATTTCCTGGGGAAAACCAATCAATAAGAGGAATCTGGTTCTTTCACATTGTCACGGTTATACTTGTAGGAATCTGAACAAAAAAAAGTCACAAAGTTTAGGCGCTCAGATAGATCGGGAATCGGGAAAGGTTACTGGTATCTGAAAAAATGTCTGCTCCTGAAATGTTGGCATAAAAACGCATCATCATTCTAGTGAAGAGATTATGCCAGCATGTTAAAAACAGTGCAGGTGTTTTATCTCCCTTACAAAGATGGGATATAATGTTGTAACTAAAGATTTAATGAGACATTATTGACTGTCAGGTCATTGTTTAAGAGTAACAGGCCTAATGCTATAAATTGTTTAATGTTAGGGGGGACCTAGGATTAGGAATCTCCCTTGATAAGAGTGCCGGGACTTGACGTCCACAACATTGTGGAGACTGGAAGCCCCTAATCTTAAACCCACTATCCCCAAACCTGCACTAAGCCTAATCCCCCTAACATGAACTTCCTCCGATCCCCCCTTAACTCTAACCTTACCCAAACCTCTACACTAAAAGCAAACCTATCTGAGTGGTGCTGCAATAAACTGTAATAAACAGCACTACTGCTAACAGAGGAAGGCTTCTTCATTGATGTACTGACAGTAACATTTAAAATTCCCCATTTTTATAGTACTGTTTTATATGTACATATTAGGTTCTAGGTATGGACAAAGAGTCAGAATAATATAGTCAAACAAGAAAAGGAAGAGAAAGACAAAACATGTTATATGAAGCAGAACTCCAGAGGGCCCAGCAGAGCACCTGCAATGAGGACAGAAGAAAAAAAAGATCAAACAAACAGCAAGAAATGAATGAGTCGCAGACAATGGATCTCAGCAAAATACTAAACAAAAGCAAGAAACTAAAGTATGACTTTGAGGGGTAAAAGTTTTGTCACATAAAGCTCATTAGTCCAAGAATTACTCTGCAGGTTCCATAGATTTTTATGTTTTTAATGAACAATAAGAAGTGTTCACATGGTGTGCAGTGTCAACAAAGAATCGATTATAATGATTTTTAACAAAAAAAGATGGCAATTTTATTTATTCATCAAACTTAAAGGAACACTTTCGTCTTAGGAATACAAAGCTGTATTTCTAATACTTCAGTATCCCTCTGAAGTCCCTCGTGCTGGCTTCCTCTCCACCTCT